TTCTCTTCTTCTCCTTCTCTCTTCAAGAAACTACTTTCTTTCAAATATTTTTTTTTTTTTTTTTTTTTTTTAATTCAGCAGATTCCTACTACAAGTATATGAGTTCACTGTGTAAGAGCTTCTGTACATATGAACACCCTTAAGAGCCCCCAAAAAAATCAACAGCCAAAACAGATGAAGATAGGTCTTATTTGAAAAGCATGTTGGTATTCAACCATCCTCTAATATCTTCTATAATTAGATTTATCAGATTTTTTTTGATAAAAAAACTCTCCTGTTTCTTTCACCCCAAATAGCCCACAATAAAGCCAGCGGGATGGTGGACCATAAAAACCACCCCTTCTTGCACATTCCTCTAATTTACCAGCTTTTTTTTTTGTTAAGTATCTAATTTACCAGATTTCTAACAGGGATTTAATTGAATTGAGCATTCAGCAATGGTAAGAAATAGCCTTGAGAAGATTTGACCAGATTTTAACAGAGAACCCACAGTGGATAAACAAGTGATTAGATGTCTCTATTTACTTACTACACAAGACACAAAGGGTATCAGGCAGGTCCATTCTTTTCCTTAATAGAACTTCTTTCATGAGACACTTCTCTTCAGCAGCTACCCAGGCGAAAAACTTCATTTTGAAGGAGCAATCCCACCCCAAACAGCTTTACTAGGGAAGGAGCAAAGTGAAGCGGGCTCCATTCCATTGTAAAAAGTTTTTTTTTTTTTATTATCAGCACACCTTTGTAAAAGATTTTACTGAATCGGATTCAGATTTGGACCATATCCAGTATCATTGATCTGGAATCTATGGATTTATTCGTATGCATTGCAGCCTGGACAGCAAGTCTGATACCTGTGGAATCTCCCAATTGTTGAGATCTCTTCTAAACGAAGGAGTCTCGACCAAAGTGTCTCCAGAACTAACATGTGAATCAGCTAAAAAAGCCTCTTTATCATATGCCAACAGAAATAGATCTGGATAAACATCCTTCAGGGAGATATCAGCTTACCAGTTATCTTTTCCAGAATTTCAGCCTGTTGCCATTTGCCAGACCCTACCTTATATCTAATTCCTTTCAAAAATTGAGGATAAGCTTTGTAGATCCATTTCACACTCTGCAGCCATATAGGAGATTAGATTCAGCTGCATCTCAGCCATTATTATGAAAGCCGTATTTTTGAGTAATGATTCTTCTCCAAAAGTTATTGGGTTTATTGAAGAACCTCCAGAACCATTTACCCATGAGGGCCAAATTGAAAGTCTTTAATTTTCTAATTCCAAAGCCACCATACTCGGTTTGCATATCTGATCCCAGCTAACCAAGTGGTAAACATGGGAGTCTTCCATCCAATCCATAGAAAAATTTCTCAAAAATTTCTCGATCTTCAAAGCTAATCTCTGGGGGAATGGGAAAGAGAGACATATAATAAACAGGAATGCTGGCCAATACACATTTTATTAAAGTCAGCTTACCTTCTTTTGACAAATATCTTTCTTTCCAGGAGGCTAGTTTATTAGCCACCTTCTCCACCACCAGAGCCTTAATGCTTTTTGATATACACTTGGCTCCTAATGGAAAACCCAAATATTTAGAGGGTAAGGCACCATTCTTGCAGCCCAAGAGGATCTACCTATACATGCAAATTTTCCACTTCCCCAATAGCCATCATTTCACTTTTTGCAAGGTTGACCTTCAAACCTGAAACCACCCCAAATCAACATAATATGCTGCTTTGGCATCACAAGAAAGGGTGTATAATTTACAAATTGGAGTAGAGGGATTCCTTCATCATTACTTCCAAGTTCCATTCACAAAGCCTTCTAAACATCCACCCTCAATGTCTCTAGCAGTCATCTTGCTTAAACCCTCCATAATTATGACAAACAAGAGTGGGGAGAGAGGGCCAATTTGCTTGAGACCCTTAGATCTTTTGAAATTGCCTTTTGCAGGACCATTTGAGGATTGAGAACCTGGTTGTGGAAATACAAACCTTCATCCAATTTTTCCATTTTTGCCCAAAGTGTATCAAACACATCATGTAGTCCAAGAAAGCCCAATTCACATGCTTGTAGGCTTTCTCTAGATCAATTCGCACACTAGGCCCTTCTTACCACTTCTTATGGAATCAATTAGCTTGTTAGCTATTAGGACTCTATCTTTAATGTGTTTATTATGAATAAAATCTCCTTGTGAAATAAATATCTTGAGTCCATCACCCACCGTAGCCTTGATGCCAAAAGCTTTGCTATGATTTTATACACATTCCCTATTAAACTGATTGGCCTGAAGTCTTTGCTATGATACTTTCCATGATTAACGATGAGCTGATTCACTTTTCCTTCCCATGCTGCCAGCCCCCTCATTCAACCTCCAAGCCAGTTGCAGAAGTTCCTTTGTCTGGCTCCTATTTTGTTTACCTTTTTCAGTTAGGTGTCTGCTCTCTAAAGCAACCAGCAAAGCCTTTGTTTCTTCTCCCAAACCCTTTGTTTCAGTTAGAAATCTAGACACTATGAGAGAGGTCATCTTGATTCATGATCAAAGCAACACGAAAAGAGTATAGGCATTCTGGTACTAGTAGTTTGACAATGTATGGAACCTTCACTTGTGCTTCTTTCTTCAAGTCCATCTCTCTACTTTCTACTCAACAACCCTTTCCGTCAAAAGAAATTTTGTGCAGGCTAGTTCCCCCAAAATATTATGGTGTTTTGTTAGGAAGTATTCTATGGGAAAGTAAACACTCTAGATAACCTACAAAAGAGAAGACCTTTCCTCTATATTTCTCCTAATTGGTGTATCCTCTGTAGAGCTCACGGTGAGGATTGTTACCA